TATCCACGAGTACTATTTATTTATCCACGAGAATCTATCATTAAATATTAAAAAGAAAATGAAATCTAATAGGAAAAGCGCTGCTTTTATTGTATACTGTAAAAATTATTTAATCGGTCACTGCTGGAATCAGCAATTCGGTCCGGTTAAGAGAACTCCCCTATATAAAATAACGTAACTTTGTAATGAAAAGAAAAACTGTGGACTTGCAATCTTGCACGGTTAAGATAACATCCATTTCACCTTATATATTTTTAAGTAATAACTGCTTTATTTTAATTAAAAATAAATGATTATTAATTAATGATAAATTAAATAAAAATTTCATTAATTAATTAATATTTATGCAACTGCAAGTCACATTCTACGCAAATGTACTCTATTTGTGTTGTTCTATTTATGTACATTAATGACATGTTTTTGAACATAAAAATAATATTGTTATGTATTTTTACAAATTATTTTTATTTTTCTACATGAAATAAGCGAAGAGTAAATAAAAATATAAAACAAATGCATTTGTATGGTTTCCTTTCCGCCTATGCAGTAAAACTAAGTACAGCGGTTACTGAGCTCAATTATTTTAAAACTATTGTGAATGGTAGTCTTGGTGGAGGGACTTGCTACAGTAAAAAAAACTAAGACACAAATGCCAAGTTTAACTGATTATTGTGAACTATCAAATAGGTTTGTGCTTTTGCTAAAAGTACTATTCACAATAAGAAATTAGTTTATAATTTGAATATATAATAAATGTAAATAACATTAATTTATTTCATGTTAACATTTAAAACTGCAAAATTTAAATTTAGTATAAAATTTATATTTAATTTTTATTATTATTATTTTTATTTTAATTATTTAATTTATTTATAATTAAAGCAATTGATTAAATTTATTTATTGAAATAAATAAAATTATTTCCTTATGCCTTCTATACTGTGCAAATATTGCAGGATTATCACTCACAACAAATTACATAAAGCGGCAACTCATAGTTTCAACAGTTTAATCAGATCTGATTAAATTTAAGCATTATTTTAATACTTAAATACTTTGAAGCACAAGTGTCTGTAATTAGATTTAAGGATGAAATAGGTGTAGTAGACGAAGGGAATGTAGAAAAAGTAAACGTTAGATCGCAGAAAAAATGATAAGCTATGGAGGAACTAAGAAAAATTTTCACAAATCAAAACTGACACAATCTGATTAAAAAAAACTAAGTGCAAATATCACTGCCATCGAAGCAAGACATTCGGTTTGATCTTCTTCAGGGATTTTGGCGTAACCTAAAGTCTAAGTAACGGAAATATTTAATAAGTGTCACGGCATTAAATGGCATATGGAAAAAATGCACTATCGCTTTTGAACGGTTCGAAGTGGTTTTATAGATTCCAGGTTAAAAATTTTTCTGTAAAGGAAAAATTTGCGAAGGTCTCCTTCCCTCCTAAAATCAATTTGAACCCAGGAATAAATCAGCCTAATGGATTCCTGGAATTTTAAGTAAAGCTTAAAATAAGCGTACATATTTTTTCAAAAATTTATAAAAAAGAGGCTCTATCATCTATAACAAAACAGTAACAGATAACAAAGCTTGGGTCTACATTTGTGGCTCAGAAATAAATCAACATTCGATGACATGCAGCCCAGAAAGTGATAATCCACCGTTTAAAACCAAGTAATCGAAGTCAGCAACAAAAGTTGCTGCTGTTAAACAGTTCCTGTTGTTATTTTCCGATTTTTGACGTCAACATTTTATAGTCCATATACCCCCTAGAGTGCACTCCCAGCAAAGCAATATTACGAATTTCCAGCATTGATTGGGTAGGTGTCCAAGCCTCTCACATTGACGGCCAGCTTATTTGGTATTTACAATTCTTTCTTCCTTTATTTTTACAAAATCTATGTTTTCTCATGGACACGGATCTTACTTATTTTGTTCTGTGAGACGTGTGTCTTAATCTTCAGCCAATATTATTTACCTTATCAAAACTTCCAAAGTCTCCAAAGTTCCAATTGTAAATTCTGCTTTAAATCAGTGTGTCGCATCAGATTTTGTATGATATTTACATAATCCTCGAAATATTCCCTTGGTTTGGACTGTAATTTAATTTTGCTTTAGGTAAAATTCTGCAGCTGGCGACTGAAGAATAGCAATTAAGTTGATTGTCGTGAATAAATGAAATCACCTTCCAAATAATCCAATACGTGTGTTTTACGTTTAAGCAGTTATCTGAGATCTGCAAAGTAACAGCATAGCTTCTCTTAAATCAGATATCTCAGATCGTCTTACTTTAACGGAACTGTCATCAGTTGTGTTCGTTTGTGTAGCCATTGGTTGATCGTCCATTAAATGTCAGTACATTTAAGAAAATACATAATCGATTTAACTGATAATATATCACTTATTATCAGTTGACAATGATTTGAGAAAAAAACCACAAATGTTAAACTAAATGACGATTACTTGGAAACATAGTACCCCGCGCCTCTCCATTAACAGAAAATTGTTTTTATTATATAAAAAAGTTGTTGAAAATGAAAAAACATTTCAACAATAGTTTTCAAATATGAATTTAATTTTCTGAATATTTTAAAAGCTGCTTTAAACAACTTTAGATAAATATGTGTATATTGTGAGCTATGTATCTATATATATAAATATGTACGTCAGACTTGTGATTACTAAGACAATGCAATTTACTTAAAATAATTGTTGAGAAAATTTTCCCAAACTTAGTTTTGCAATGCAAATTAAAATCACAGAAACCTTGAAATCTGGCTTCAAGTATGAACCTAAATTTTATACTGTTAGAGTCGGAAAATATTTAATTCATAATAAACTTTTGTGCGTGCCTAGTAACTAGAAATTGTATATAACCTAAATTATTTAAGTGCTTTAGACCAGTGTGTCACAACCCAAAACATATTGCGATTCGAAAAAATATACAATGTGTCTTGCAAGTAACGCTATCAATCTCTTCCAAAGAAATAATTTCGTTATAGTCGAAGACACAATATTTTATGGACCGGTGGTGCTAATGATGATAATTCTCTAATGAATTTCCATATAGTGAAGTCTCTTCTGTTGCTATTTTTTTTAAATCACCGAGTTTTTTTTTAATATATTCGGATTCCTCTATAGCAAACTTCTTTATAGGTAATTTCTCTTCATAATCAAGTTATTTCAAGTACAAAACGGAGTTTTTTGAATAATCCCTCTATAACAAATTCGTTCTTTAAATATGACATATTTGCATTCCTACGCCTAACATCGCCGAGGAACAACGACGTCTCCCTGTGCAGCAAGAACTGTTCTAACTCAATTAAAATCATGGTATAGCAGAGTGCTAAAAAGTTACTTGTCACCCATAAACACCTTTATTTCTAATGTGTGCCCAAACTGCACCTCTATCTTTCATGAAGCCGACCATCTGTCCTATTGATCCTCTTCGCATGCAAACCTTCATCGAATTGACCCTTGAGCCTACCCTCTTCAAGTGATTAGGTGTCTTCGCCTGGACCCAGGTGGAGTTCAATTGAAATTCCCACCCACTTTATACCCACTCCTTCGCCTTTATATATAATGCTGTGAAAACAAAAACAAAAACATTTTTTTAAATTTCTTCTATAACGAATACTCGACTTCATCGAATATTTCTTCATCTACAACAATTATTCCTTTATTACGAAGACTCCTCATAACGAAAATTCCTCCATAACGAAGATTTCTTGTTACTGAGTTCTTTTTGTGCGGAAATTCTTAATAAAAGATTGGAAGACTCAACGATATGCGAACATCTGTATGCAAGCTGACCACTTTCCGCTAAAATGAAATTCAAAATTCTCATTAAGATACCTCGCTGAGATACCATAAGTCTGGTAGATTGGGTCTATATTTCAATCGTGTCTGTCGTAGCTGTGAAGAAGACGAAAATAATGCATCTCATTTACCATGCCTTTGCTCAGCATATGCACGGCGGCGATTAAACACTTATTAGCCCCTTTTCTTAAGGAAAAGATTATGATTAAGATCAATTGCAAGGATTGTCACTGGGCAGCATTTTGAGTTTCCCAAATCTTCTAGGTGGTTTTAAACATTGAATTATTTTTATATATACGGTAACACAATGGACCAATAAGCCTAAGTGGATCCCCTAGCGATATCCGGTATAATTTTTAGAAAGAAGATTTCTGTATAACGAACACTCATCTATTGCCTTAATCGAAAATTTCTTCGCATCGAAAAGTCCTTTTATACGAATATTTCTCTATAAAGAAGACTTCTTTACAAGAAAGATGTGTCCATGTCGAAGATTTGTCTAAAACGAAAACTCTTCTTTGATTAAAAAACCTAAATAACGGGGATTTGTATATAAGAAAAACTTCTCTATAGCGAAGATTATTCTATAATAAAAACTTCTCTATAATAAAGACTTCGTTATGAAGAACACACCTCTATACCGCTGATTCTTCCATAACAATGACTACTTTATGACAAAGACTGTTTTTGAAACGAATATTCTTCTATAATCAAGACTTTATTATAACAAAGACTTCACTATAACGACAACTTCTTTATAACGAAAACTCTTTTATAACAAAGATTTCTATAACGAATATTTCTCTATAACGGGCACATCTCTATAACGATAACTGTTTTATAACGAAGAAATCTAACTATTCTATAAGCAAGACTTTACTATAACGAAGAAACTTTTTAGAACAAAGCCTTCTGTATCACAAAGAATTCTCTACAATAAACACTAGTCCCGATGAGTTCGTTATAGAGGAATCGGACTAAATTTCATAATAAATGTTCAAAATGATTTAAAAACTATTAAATTTAAATGTACTTCGTAAAATTGTGTAAAATTTATTTTAATAATTTTTCGTTTGTATACATTAATATTTATAAATTTTTAACATTTCGTTATTTGATAAAAATTATTTAATATATTTTAAGAATAATTTTGTTATACAAAATGAATGCACTTGGGTATTTGATAAAATTTATTGAACAACAATGGACGGCTTCGGTTTCGTTAAGTATTACTTAATTTAGCTTAACATTTCGTTTTTATATAAAATATTTAAAAAAAATTACTTTAAAGTTAACAACAATTATAAGATACTATATTGGAATGTAAAGATTCTTCGTTTTTGTCATTTTAGCGTTTGTACATTAATGGACGTAGAAATTTTAATAATTAAACTTGGCAATATTTTGCATGCATTAAAGTGCATTTATAATTTATAATTTAATATAAAAATTTATTTGTAATTATTTGTAATAAAGTTTGAACTTAAATGTCTTTTACTTATATGAATAAATGATATGTAAAACTGCAACACTACTAATGGGCACATCGGCATTATTGATTATTGTAAACATCTTAAGAACTGATAGGTTATCGTCATTAAGTGTGTCACTAATTGCGTTATACTATGTTTACACTTTATTCTTTGTGAATAATTGAAACTGTACTGTAGTAGATTTGTCTACCTTGAGAATAGAAATGTGGTTCTATATAACATATGGGACAATACAAAACCATTCATTGTACTAAGGATTGATTCGATAAATTGAGTTAGTACAATAGACTTAGTATTCTCTAATAATAATTACAATTTAAAATTATTGTATATTATTAGCACTATTTTGTATAAAGTTAGTGTAAACGCACTGTTAATGGTGTGGTATTCGAATTCAGACATTTAGATCGATCACTGTAACCCAAATCATTGTGAATGAAATTCTTTGATTTACTTTATATTAATTATTATATTGTACATATCAAAAAATAAATAAATACGTCATGTGCTTATCGTTTGAAAATAATTACCGAGTAAAATATACCCTATATACCATGTATTAACATTCGGTAAATTGCTATTGCTATTATTATTAGGGGCCAGAAAGGCCACTGCGTCCTGAATAGATCTATTGTGCATTTTTGGTAAATCAAAAACGCTAGCAGGATTTCGGTTTAATATTCGAAAATGTTTATATCTTTTATGTTTCATTTTTTAATTTATTGATTAGAACTTCGAAAATGTTCGAACACTATTTTGTGCATGTTATAAAAAGTATCACGGGCATGTCAGAACCAAAACTGTTGTTGCTTTCAATGGAAGGTCCATAGTTTTACGTGATTCCCTGCCGTGTAGGCTCAACATCACGGTGTTCTTCACACACCTTTCAATGGAAATGAGATTGAGAGAAAAAAAGAAATGCCAGTTTAAATTCGGAAATGAGAGCCGTAGTTATCTATGTCTCGTCATTCAATCAAAGCCGTAATTTATATAAGTATGTATTATATATTTCCTTTAACATTTAGGCACACCCAACAAGTAGAAAAGTAATAGTAAAAATACGAAATTGAAAAACGGATGTCATACTATGTATAAAATGCATTTGCGTTTAAGCACGAAAGAGCCAATTTCCATTTTACATAACACGGGCCTTATATTTTTTATATAAAACAAAAAAAAGAATTAAAATATTGGGCATATAAGCTATTCAAATAGGTCGAATATCTTCAAGCAACTTGAAGATCTACAAGCAACTCAAAGACCTTCCAGTAACTACCACAGTTAGAGTTCGATCTAAATGTTTGAATTAGAGTTAATTCGAATTTCTCGAACATCGTTACATCCAAACTTAGATCATAACAATCCGAACTTTGATTAACTCGTATAATATTAGAGACTCCAACTGTTAGAGATAACACCAACAGTCTTCTCTACTATTATAAGCATCTTAAGTGTTTAAAGCTATTTGTCACCGATGTTCCCTCTAATTGTGTTACAGACATTTTAATCTTACATAACTAAATTAGTGAAAGTTTATGCAATTTGTCATGGTAGGTAGTGTAAGCATTAATATATTGCGTGCAACACTAGTTTTCGTCTACAACGGATTTTTCTAATACTAACAGTGAATTTCTACTTAAGGCACAATAGACTTGTAAACAAAAACAATATACATTATATACTAACATGTATGTATGTATATAATATATATTAGTTAAAATAAAGTTAATGTCTTGCACGCAACCACGCTATCGTTAGGTGTAGGAAGACGATATAGTCAAGATATTAATGCGAACTTTAATTGAGATTCAATTTAGAATCGAGTAAGTTTTTCATTATTTGCTTAATAGATTTATTAGAATTTATTTAGAATTTATTTAATTCTAACTTTTTATATTTATTTGCAGAATGGAGCCAAGTACTTATATCGTTAATAATGGTTATTCATTGACACAAAAAAAATTGAGTACTTGACCTCATGACGTGAACTTTTATGCAAACATTTTTTCTTTTTTGCATATCAAAACATTTGAAGACTATGGACTATGGATATGTAAATTATTAAAATTATATGAAAATATATAAAAAATTATTTGAGCTTCAGAACATTGCATTTATTGTAGCGCTTTGATTCGTTGTGCTATAAAATCAGTCAGTCTTTGATATATGAGAACTCCGCTCTATAGTTTGTTTAATTAAATAAGTACCAACTGAGTCTATGGTTGTTATTACTTTAAGGCTTTAGGCTTTTACTTGCAGCAGCAGTTTTTAATATATATTGTTTTCATTAGAATTGCATAAACTTACGACTATTCCTCCACTTCTACTTAGTAGTATTTATATATTCTAAAATTATTTATAAAAAATTGTTCTTTTAAATATTAATAAAATTTAGGGACGGCTTGTATAAAATACTGAGAAAATTCTGCTGAAATCCTACACTGCTCTTAGTCATTTTTAAAGTGCAGTAATTTCAATAAAATTTTCCATTATTCGAATTAAAAATTTGTTTTTTTTTATGTTACCAATTCTATTGTCGCTTATTATAGTTGTGTTTGCACACCATACCTTCTCTTCTTACTTATAAGAGTTAATTCCTCGATGGAAGTAGACCAACACTAGGCATTTCCATGGACCAATTCGAAACGCGTTTGTGAAGCTTTAAACTGCCTTCGTTTTCGTTCCTGCACATTGGCTTCAGTTAGAAATAGCACACCAGCTACCAAGGATAACACCGAGCCAACACATGCAAATACGAATGACCAACCAAACCAGTTGTTGGCATGTTCAGGCATCCAGCCATTGCGATTTCCAAAACAAGCAAACACTATAACAGCTATACATGCACTAATACCAGTTCCAAGCTGTACGAATCCTAGCGATTTTATGAGCGTTATAAAATGTTTCTGGTCCGGTCCAGCACACAATATAAACACCAAAACAGCAATTCCAGATATTAACATACCAATAAACGCTATCGTATAGAAAAACTGTGTCACAATCATAAATGCAGGCATCAGAAATCCACGTATCTCATCATAGCCTGTCGTGAAAGGATCATAGACCCAACGACACCCAACGAAGAACCTGCGTTGATTGTCATCGTTGACATCTGGCAGTGAACGAAAACAATGCACCCACAATCCAAGACGATCCAATTTAGCGCCAGTTATGCGATAGTCGCTCACAAGCCAACTAGGTGTGGCGAATGCTATGACTATTAACGCAAATGCCAGCACAAATACACCAACGCCGGAGTTACCCGATAAAGTACGCCTCTTCATGTTCACGGTTGGGGGAATATTTTCTTGGGAATCGTTTCGCGCGATATGGGACGCTTTTTGCATCCTTTTATATCAATTTGTTTTGATTTCGTTAATTTTAAGGGAGTGACACCTCGCGTTTGTGTGGCTGCTCACAACTTAACAAAACAATTCTCGCATTGAGAAAATGACAAATACGTCAGGGTTGCAATTTAACACATACATTTACTACTTTATTCCATAGTTTACGTCATTATTAACGTTCATAAACTCGTTACGTACATAAATAACTAATTTCTAGTGCCATTCGTATTGGTTCGCACGCGGCCTGTGCGATTCGAGTAAATTTAAATTTCCTAGGGATTTTTTGCACCACACTTATGTAAATATTTATTTATTTATGTGTTGCACTTATTTATTACTTTTTGGTTAAAAGTTTTTAAATTTATTTATTAAATATCTTATAAAATTTTTACAATGGTAATATCTAATTTACCTAATTTTTATCTAATTTACGCTGCTCGAAATTCTGGTAAATGCCAACATTTGCTGCCATACCGACATAATTTACTATGTTTCTCAATTTATCATCAATTTACTCGAACTCGCACAGGGTCTAAGTATATTCTTTTCTTTGCAAATTAAGTTAAAAGTACTGAAATCTAATTTAATCTAAACAAAAGCAATGAGAAAGTAAGTATTTAATAAAATCTTTGTTTTTATTAATTGCATATATAATTGACATATAAAATATATATAAACGATTAATATATCAATTATATTTTTAATTCTTTCCTCCATTAAAATTCATAATGTAAACATGGTATTATAAGGCCTTTTACTTTATTGTTTTCTTTATTATTATTACTATTACTTCATTATTTATTAATTTATTTGCATACACATTATCGTAAAGAACTAAAATCTATTATTGCTATTATTATGTTTTACTACTTGTCTCTTCTTTTAATATAATATATATGTGTGTTAATAGTTACTGCTGTTTCACAATATATAATATTATAGTTACTGGTGCACTTTGCTGCATATATATCTAATAAGATAACACAATGCACTTTTACAAAAAAACACATGTTGTGATTTTACTTCTTTATTTCTCAATTAACACAACAATAATCCTACAATTACTTGTAGGGTTATTTCTTTTTACTTGTCAATTTCATATGCTGTTTGCGTTTTAACAACAGATGGCCATACGAGCGCAACAAATTATAAACGAAATTCACAGCAACACATGTTCCAGCGCCATCTAGTATGAAGAACAATTTTATTTTGTATAGCAACCAATTAAATGTGAAAAAAGAAATAAGGCGACTAGAGACATCGTTTTGAAAAACAACAAAACGCAATTATATATAATAGATAAATTGTGATGTGTTGTAATATCTTAATTCATTCGTAGTAAATATTATATTGTGTGGCAAAACAGCCACAAATGTAATATAATGTCACTCTACAACATTATTATAATATAATAAGATTTATATGATGAGAATAATGAGTCTTTTATTTATCATTTCTTTAATTTCATTGGCGTAACATACCAAAATGTATATACAAAAAATAAAATAGATATATACAAAATAAATATATATATATATATACAAAAATAATATATTTACGCAGCTTACTTTGTGATACATCTAATAAGTATTATATGAAAAGTAGCAAACTTTTATAAAATTTGGTAGCACTTTTATTCTTACAATCCAGCGACTGTAAAACGTTTGTTTTGTTTTCGTTTAAATGAAGTTTTTATTAAAAATATTAAAAACATGTTATTTCAACAAATTCAGCCTAATTTTAAAGAAATATGTTTTTTAAAATTAGCACAAGATCATGATGTCAGGAATAAAATTGCTGAATATTGTTGTCTCCATTAAGTCATACAAAATGTTTTTACTTTGTCAAGACAAACATAGGAGGCACATTTGTTATTAGGTAAGCATTGCCGTGGAGTAAAAAAAAATTCTACTAAAATAATTAAATCAGAAAATGTTTTTACTTTTAATAGTAATTATGTTTCGCCAAATAAAAATAGAAAAAGCAAATATTTGAGATACTCATACTAAATTTCTCCATAAATCAAATCTGCCTTATTCGTAGCCGCAATCGTTGAATTGATGGATCTACTGAAATGGGAAATGTTAAACTGAAAAATGTGTGTCCACCACAGAGCGTTACTACGGTGATCGCTAAGCACAATTAATATTTGAATTTTTATGTGTTCTTAATTTAACGAATATTCAAAGAAAAAAGAAAATATTTTAAAGCAAATAATCTTATATAAAAACGTTCTTGTTGATAGAAGGTTTAAACGTAAGCTGCGTCAGTGGAAGACCCAATAGTTAAGTTGTCTGAACTTCCGTAATGGAAAATTGTCAAGGTGGGTACTGTGTGTTTATCACAAATGGTTACTACAGTGATCCCAAGCACAACCGAATGTAAAATTTACTTATTTTTGTGACCGGATAGTCATAGAAAGACTGAAAACTTTTGGCAAAACTGTGCTGAAGAACTGAATGCTTCTGGAGGATCCAATAAAATTCCAGAGCAATGGAAAAAATGTGAGTTAAAAAGAATAAATTAAAGTTTTTGGTACAAGTGCTATTTGTTATTTTGATTTTATTTAATTTTACATACATCACCAACAAAATAAATAAAATACAACTAGCAATAAATAATACAAAAATTTTTCAAGTTTTACTGCTACCGTACCATATACGTTGTTAGCGCGCCTAATATACATATGTATGCGGAAATATTCTATTTATTATTTTCTATAATTTACAGATTTAATTTTGTTATTATTATTTTATTTTATTATTATTATATTATTTTATTATTATTATTTTATTTTATTATTATTATATTATTTTATTATTATTATTTTATTTTATTATTATTATATTATTTTATTATTTCAGTAAAAAAAACAAGCACCTGCAATAAAGCGCTTTTCTGACAAAACATGCAATCAATTGAAAACTTTTGAGGGAATAGATAAAGAAGTGATAGCATTGATTTCAGAGCACGCAGTGGATGGGGATTAAAATATTCCTGAATCAGGCATTCCGGTAAATAAAGCACATGTTTTTTGTTTTACATATTAATAACAACACTTTCTGCTTTCTTCTACAGTAACATCAATCAGATTTTTTAACGCTGGAGTTTCTTGAGAGTGAAGAAATTTTAGTTAACAACTTTGCTTCTCCAATGCTTTCTTTACCACTGGAACCCAAAAAGGCAAGGAATGACACCTACTTGTCAGAACTCGAAAGTGTTAAGCGCCTCATTATTGAGCAAAATGAAAAGCAGAACCCAACATTTCAAGAGATGCTTGCAGTATTGTAAAGCATCAACAATAAGTTGGATGTGTCAATTGACAACACAAAAAAAGAATAAGTAGAATATATATATACTCACCAATATATTTCTCACAACAAAAAAAAAAAATAAAAAATATATATAATATATACTTACATATATAGAATAAATTAAAAATGAATATTGTTTATTTGTGTTTATTTTATTAGTGTTTATTTTATTAGTGTTTATTTTATTTGTATTATTTGTATATATTGTATATTTGTTTATTTAGTATTTTAATTATATTAAGCAGGGCTAACCATCAGACCACGCTCAAAGGACAAGCATGCGAAAACCTTTTAAGAACTCTAGTCAATTGTGCAATGCAATTGCGAGCGTTAACATGATTTGCATTGAACTTTCGCTGGCTTGCACTTTCAGTATTTCTATAATGAGTAATTAACCATGGTTGAAGAGGATATCCGGAATCAACTAGTAACCAAATTGAATCATTATATTGCCTGTAATTGACTTCTAGTAACTTTTTGATTGCGCTGTTCTACCATATGAAGGCATCATAATGTTACGAGCATAGCATTCTAAGGTTTTTAAATCCAAATCGCAAATGCGCTGCACATTTTTCGAAAAATAACCTATTCTATTTTTATAGCAATGCTCTACTTCTATATGAGGATTTTTTATTTTAACGTGCGTGCAATCAACAGCACATATTACATCTGGGAAGTCTGTCGCATTGAAAAATCTGAGTGACATAATCAATTATGAAAATACATATATGAAACGAGTACTTCTGTTTAACAGTAGTAACTTCGGTTCATCTACAGAAGTGAGAAATCTTATGTACTTCTGCATCAATTTATCCTGAATAACAAAAGTCATTTCTTTTATTACGAAGTATAATGTTGGCTTGCTCATTGGGCACACAAAATCCTGTTCTATATCGCTTAAAAACGATCCTGTTGCACAAAAATGCAGCGCAGCAGTTAGCCTTATGTGCTTTGGTATATAGGTGTTTCTGAACCCAATCCTCATAAACTGACATATTTTCTCCAAAAGGCATAGAGTTACTTTGTTATTAAACCGAAATAGCTTGACAAAATGCGCTTCTGGCAAATGAAATGAGTCAGTTGAATCACGTAAATGCCATCGATCAATGCGAGGCATATATCTGCGATCATGTACCACTGTAGTTAAAACAGCAAGATATTCCATTTTTGATTCTGAAAATACAACAAACTTTCAAAATGGTCTTTTAAATGGAGCTTTCAAACAACATTCCATTTTCATCAGTTCTCTCATCACATCATAACGAAGTGATTTCTTAATCATTACTTTAAAGAATCGCTAAATTTCCTGGGGGATCAGTTTTCTTCTAATACTTACAAATTCAACATTTTTTATGACCTTTGGGATATATTCTGCAGCAAAATATAAATGCAAATATTTTTGTATATATTTTTTTTTATTTTTATTTTATTTTTATTTTATTTACATATTTTAATGCTAGAGAGAGACGTTTGAGAATTACAACTAGTATACATATAGTAATAAGCAATTCTATTAAAGTTAATTTAATTTAAGAAACAATAAAAGCAACATATACTATAAATACGTAAATAAGTATGTTAATATGTAAATACATGTATATCTTGCTATGACGAAATAAGGTCTGACACGGTTGTACGTTTTGGTTGTCGGCATTGAGTAGTGCTTTGTAGAAGAGCAGGAGCCTCAGTGTTGGCATGATGTGTTAACCGCTCTTCATGGGCTTTGGCGTATTGTTGTGCCACGTTTAGTAGCCAGTCAGGATCTGCTTGTAAACTTCCTTTGGAGGGTGG